TTTTAGTGGCTATTCCATTTCGTTATACCTTTGTATTTCAATACAATAAACATAGATTGCGCTCTAGATACATTATTATTATTTTAAGTGCACTGTATTGTCCGTATACGAATTATAATCGTATAACACGAAACCCGAAGTTAGAACATATTTTAATTATTTATTATAATGATTTATTAAGCGTAACTTATATTAAAATTAAAATAGCCTTGAGTTCGAATCTTTGAAGATGTATCACTGAAGACGCTCCCTTCTATCACGCCTCCACATCCTACCATTGTACATCAGATTTCCTTATTATAATAGGTATGATGTGTATTATGAATTCAGAATGAAATTGCTCTATTTTAATAAAAAAGAAAAACTTCAATTAGGTATATTAAATGTTATTTTGCCGGTTAATTTAATACGTCGACTCCGACAATAGTATTAGTATTTATTTATATATTATTTATGTTAAATTTAAATTTATTTTATTTTGTGCTTTTTTAAATTAGTAATTAATTCATTTAGTCCAATAAAACGTTTCTTTTCTAATAATTTGATTAACAACCGCGATCTTTTATTCCTCCATCACGTTTTTGTTTGTATTTTAAATTAAATTTAAATTGTATGAAAAACAAATAATCCTTCAATTCATTTTAGTATCCAGTTAAGTTTTCCAGAACGTTTCAAACTTTAGAAAAATGTTTTGAGGCAATGTGAGTACAATTAACGAAGTTTTGTTTGTGCTTTTGTTTCATTGAACATATTATTTAACACTATTGGAAAGTCATTAAGAAGTCGTTTAAAGGTATATCAGTCTTCCACCCTATTCAAGAGGTTAAAAATATCGTTTCTATATCTAATTGGAAATATAAAAGTTTAACCATCGTCCATCACTTTCTTCCTAAGCCACAACCATCAAAATCACTCCTCGATGAAGCGTACGATTAAATTTGTTACTTGTTATTATCTCACCTACAGAAATAAATAAGTTCATAGGTGGTATAATTGGACTATTATGTATAATTACATAGTCGAATTTAGCGTATATAATGAGTTCATAAATTATCTGAATATCTGATAATACTTTTACTACTACTAAACTAACTCAACTAAAATTTAGTTTATTATGGAGAATCGTGTTCATCAGTCATTTATACTGTTCAACGGATAATATCATTCAACTTTAAATTTATTTATTTATTTATATTTATTAACGGGTAGAGCTCTATACGATAGTTTAACACATAACACAATTTACAATTTAAATAACACACATAAGTTTATATAAGCTACAATAATTGCAAAAATAATATAAGTATAATTAAGCATTAGAATAATGGATAAATTACATATTTTTTCTGTAACATAATCATTAGGAAAAATAGGGGGAAGTGGCATTTTTCAAAATTTTTTTAACTTCCCATTAAAAATTGTGTTGTTGAGGTACAGTATTAATATCGATGTAAACACGGACGATTAGAATTGCTGTTTATTCCATGGAACATTTTGTCAGATAATAATATGACTCGACCGTGTTATATGATATTTTACCTCAGACAATATGTGTTTTCGTTAGTAATAGTTATGTTTTTCACTTCGTTTGCTGAATTTATATAAAATAGGCACTGAATGTAAATAATAATTAATTGTATCTGTATGGGTCAATAACTATAATATAGTTAAAGGGTGTATGTTTGTGGACTGGGGCTGCGATTCACGTTTCTTTTAATCAATATTATGCGTGACTATTAACTTCTCCCCATACAACAAATTTGGGATCTTGTCACTCATGTATATATTATAATATATTGTGTCTTACGAGTCTAATATATTAGTGTCTTTTTACTATTAATCAACACTTAAACATATTTTCCTTATTTCAGGTTGTTTTATTATTTACTATACATTATATAATTTTGTAAGGCATAAACTTAGGTTAACTTAAAATAATTAGGCTAAACTCAAACTCTGACATTGATAAAGTGGCGAATAATCCAATTACTCGTTTAAAATTATCATAGGTGGTTCAGGTATCAAATTCCAAAACTCACAAATCCAGATATACTTATTTGCATAACCATTATTTTATTATAATAGAACATTCTACCTGGTTGTTATAGCCTATCATAATATTATATTATTATAGATACTTACCTACATTATATAGATACGTGTATCTAACTAATTACCTATAACAATTCTAGCAAAGTAATAGCCAAAAATGTAAGTACTTTGAACTGATCATACTTTGTACTTTAGGTGGACGCTTGTGGACCGAAACAAAACAAAAGTGATATACAAGTATACAGCTCTCAAATATATTATATATTTTTATGTCTTGATGGCTTTTGATTTTTGTGTGGGATAATTCAAGTAATTATGTTCACAGTATTTTACGTAAAAAAAGAAAAAGATCAAATGTTCTAACTTGTAACCATTTAATGAAGTTTCACATGTAGGTGTATGAATTATTAATATTAAATTTCAAAATATATGAGTTAAAAAAAGTCATATCTTTTTTAAATATTATCAATATTTACATTTCTGAACAACAAACTTTTATATGAAACTTAATAATGACTTATATAATATCTTATTACATTTATTAAAAGTAGTTATTTGTATTAAGTACAAACTGTATTATTTTTTAACGAAAAAAAATTCGAAGTTTCAAAATAGGTAATTTATATTAATTTTTAGTCTACAGTAGTCAAGTTTCCATAGGGCATCAAAAACTTGATGATAGAGTAATTAGTGCTTTAATTGAATTATAATTCACATAAAGAACCTTTTAAACAGTTAACATTCTAAAGTTATTTATTATAATAACATAGTTTTAAACACAAAGTTTGATCTTTTTTTATAACTATTTTGTTACGATCAGACACGATAATTTCATAACTTATACAAGAATATAATATTATGAGGTGTGCATAAGTAAAATTTTATGCTTGATTATACATTTTTGTACAAGTTGAATTCTTCAGAAACCCATCTACATTATTTTGTTATTCTCGTAGTTACAAAACTAGAAAATAACTTTCGTCTTTCAGCCATCATTATAAGAGGATATCAATGCACTTAATTTGTTTTCTCTCTCCGATCCATCCCGCAACTACACTTACGTAATGTAGACAACTTTCATAACCGACCATGTTAATAAGCTGTAGTGTTTGAGTAAATAATGACCTATTATCGAACTTAAAGTTAAAGAACACTATCTGTGCTTATGAAAGTTGGCTCTTTTACGATAATTAGATTTTTACTCATGTTATACGAATAACTGATGAGTAAAATATTACGGTTTATAAAGTCTCATATCTCTCTTTAAAATTGAAATACCGTAAAAAATTCAACGTATAAACACCAACAATGTTTTTAGCTTTAAGGTTGACAGTAGGTCAATACAATCCATTAATTAAGCTAGCAACACAAGGTTGGCTCTGCAGAATGAAGTTATACTGTATTATATTGCGCATAAATCGGCTAGTGAAAACTATAATAGAAAGCTGACAATAGTTACTTGCCTATTATACCTATATAATATCATATTATTATTTATTATACTTAGTGGCACTAGTTCAGATTTTGATAGGAGGGTCTAAAGTTTTGACGGCCCATTCAGCTATAAAACATCTCGTCCACAAACTAGTTTCCGCACTAGTGATGCTGATGTAATCTTACGTTTTTATTTTAATTTAAATACCGTCTTACACATTTGTGTAGGTATTACATTTATCAAAAACACATAAAGTTTTTTGTTTTTTTTTTTGCAAAAGAAAAGCGCTTTTGTTATGGGAGTGGAGAGCTAAACAAATATAGCAATAATCATATCTTATCAGTTGCATGATTTTAGATTTTTCTGGAGTGACTAGTGAAAACCCTAATAAACCTATGAAAATAAAATATAAGTTAGTCCCGCTATAAATGAACTAATAAAATAATGTTAAATTGAAGAAATATAATAAATTATCTAGGTTTTTGAAAGTATTTGCCTTTTACGAGTACCTATACTTATACCATTTTAATAAGATTTAAGTAAACGCAATATTGGTGAATTTTGTATAAAAAACTCCATGAATATGCGACATAAGTACCTAAGTCCTACATTTATTATACATTGTAAAATATTAACAAATTCATGGTATAGCCAGTATAGGTATTAAGTATGATTATTTCTAAATTACAAAATCGAAATTTTAACTATTTAATTATACTAGTGGTCTTGTACGAAAACGACGACGAAAATAAAAAAATAAATAAATATTACCGGAGTAAATAAATCGATCTTTCTTGTGATTTGGTTGATATATTTAGCTTTTTATACAAAACGTTCTAAACTAGTTTGAAACACACTGTTTTTTAATATTATATTTAGTTTAATATCCGACGACGACTTGTTCAACGTGGGTACCCGGAATTGCGATGCCGCCCCATAATAGTGGTTAAGCAATTATTTGACTCACGCGATGGATATCCCTTTCCGTCCGTGCCACACCTGTACCTATGTGTATATGTTAGGTACTAACCTAACCTACCCATAGTACTTACTGGTTACCTTATGTCGCATTGGCGTGCCGTGACCAACAATTGGTGCGACATAAATGTGAAACGCGTTGCGCTATTCGCAATGTGCAAGGAGAACACGAAAATGCACGCTTAAGAGTTGTTTTGTGACGTGTCGATAATCCGGTACGGCGGTTAAATCTCTTAGATGTCTAGTTTATTTATTTTTTAATCTTTATATATTATTGGGCCGACTAGTGGTTGATTAACGCCTCTCAAAACATAAATGTTTCTTTGCGCAGTTAATATTTTAAACGTCTCTCTGTATAATGTACCTAATTTAATTTTAAAGCAGAGCGAATGTAAAAGCTATTTAATTGGTATCGGTTTTACAATAATTTTTATTATTTTGTTTTATAAAAAAAAACACAGTTCTTAAGAGGAAGGTTCGAAAAATTGTATTTATAGCATTTAAAAATTGAAAATTGAGAACGGTTTGTACTTACTTTGTTATATACATTGAAACAATCACGGGTGTTCTAAAAAACAAAAGTAAAAGATAGAATAACAACAACTATCATGCGTCAGTGAACAAATACTATTGTCTAACGATGTTGATTAGAATAAGTCAGTTTTAACCATAGATAGTAAAAATCACCGTTTCACCAAAATGATCAAATCACGAATGTCATATCTGTACGTGACCAATCAAAAAATTGCACTTCGAGTTAGGTAAACTATATAATATACCATAGGTACTAATATTCCTATTGTTATTCGCAGAACTTAATTTTTTCCATAGTTTGACCTTGGACACGTCACGTTTTATAAGAAAATCTATTTATTGTATAGTTGAAATATGTGTGTGTGTGAGGGTGAAGAAATGAGAACCCGGAATTCTGAATCTAACAATATAATTTTGTTTTCCCGCGTTTTTTAAGTATATTTATATAATTACTATTTTTTTAAGAGGAATATTGATCATCTTGATCACGAAACTAGTTTTTGATTTAAAAGTTTATATTTTTAGCTTAAATACCTATAATAACATAGCTTATATTTTATAATATCATATTTTATCGATAGTCATAAATCATAATGTCAAATATATGTTAACCAATAAGGCAATAAGTGTGTATAAGAGTAATAACTTAAAATGATGATGTCCGTTAGTTTTCTTTTTTCTAAAAATTATGTTGTCATGAAGACGAATTTAAAAATATGAAAAGCACATTTTAAATTGTTTTCGTTGACATTTGATATGTGTAACAAAATTTGATAATGAAACAAAAAATTACGAATTTAGTTATTTTGATATAATTAAAAAAATATATTTATTGTAGCAGGGACTCAGAACTATATTATTTACCAGGGTTATAATGTATGCGATATTATTGACAAACATAAGTTCAACCTAACAGAAAAATAAATAACTTATAATAGTATAAATAAATATTAAACTATAAAATATCAATGATATATCATTTGAATCAAATCTAAGACATCCGTTATATTACAGCACCTAATCAATAACGAAGTACACTCAAAAGTGAATAAGCAACAGAGTGGTTATTTTTTTTTTTAAATTAATTAACTGGATATGGTATTTTCTAGTCCCTCGAGAACGATGAATAAATATTTAATTTTGTGCCATTTCTTACATAAATAAAACTCATAATTGAACAATATATATATATAATTTTAATCCACCGCACGACTGGAATTGTTTATAAAATAAGAACTTACAAAGAAAATATCTATACTTTATGGACTACACAAATAAATACATACATTTTTAATTTAAACATTTTCGAAAATGAATTCCTTTATTTTTTTTTATACATAAAATAGTCACAAATATCATAATAATATAAAAAATTAAAATGCGAAAGTACACGTTTTATTTTCATGTTTGCATTCATTTAACATTCATTCACTGTTATAAAACTTATAAACTATATATTTTCGTGATAATGATAATTTATTGTTTTTTCTTTAGTGGACAACTTAGACATGAGACGTAATCATTTTTTCAGTAAAATTACTATTAATTTACATAATTGTATAGCTATAGCACAATAGCATGTCGAGTTTATTATACTGAGCGTGTATAATTTTATACGACAATGAAATAACGTAAATAGTTCAGATGTGTGGGAAAAACTAATTTGAATTTAGTTAGCTTGAACACATAAATACGTACACAGAAGTTAAGTTGATTTTTTAGGAATTTGTGTTTATTGCTTTTATAATTAGTTAATTTAAGAGTTAGGGCCATATCTGCATTTGTTAAAGTAAAAAACATACAAGTTCAAAATATTAAACCTACCTATTTTTTTAGCACTTTTGTATATAATACAGTTATAATAAAAAAAAAAACAATTCTACAACGTATGATATGTCATACACAATTCCGAATACATTTTAACAATTTTTCTGAACAATTTTCGAATAACTACGGTTCATTTTTAAATATTGTTAAATTGTTTCAAAGTAGGTACCAAAAACATATTTTAACGATATTTCATAAATATTAAATATATAAGAAAATGGGTTTATAAAGTTGTTTGAAAAACCGTTAAGAGGTAAAATCTTCAGGTAAAATCACTGAGTACTTACATGTATTTAATTTATTTTGACAAAAACGATTATAATTAATTGTAGCTATACTATTCATTTACAAACTCGTCAATATTTCTAAAATATTTTTAATTGGTAACAAAAAAACACATCTTATTTTAATCTTAATTTCTTATTAAGTGAAAGTGTAAATTTACAGGGACATACATTAAAATGTCTAAATACCTATAGCTAAATAAATTCAGACCCACTTCGCGTGTACAATATATATATGGTTTAAAACGAGAATTGTGTTATTTTACGAATGCCCGATAAATGTATACTTCCATTTGTATTGATAATTGCATTTCTATTTTTCAATTCTAGTATCTACTATCAAAAACAAAACCACAGCATCGTGACCATTAGAAGATGTATTTTTAAATATATACATATATATATTTATACATACGTATTAAGTGATATTACATATGATAATAAAAGTTATATAACAACAAAGGTAAAAAAGGCAATACAAGTTTGGAATTTAAAATAATGTTATTTGTATTAAAAATAGGTGCATTAGTTCGTCCAATCCTTCCATTTATTTTTTGTATTTAATAACTTATTGTAAATATTTTGAAATAGAATACTGAAAATAATTACTTTTATATAACTGATCAAGAGACTGAAGTATCCTATTCCTTACACAAAAAAATATTTTACGGATTACATTATTGAAATCTGCAGGAGTCTCAGACGTGTCCGAACTCCAGGTGCAGGTACTTAATGGCGGGAAATTTCCGGTTAGAAAATTGACCATATTATGTCCCAAGAGCGAACTGTCTGTAAGTACTGGCCTGGACGCGGGGGAGCTGTGGCATCCCGTGTGTCGTGACCCTTTTATACTTTGCCCTTGTTACACAGATGCTCCCCCATAAATAATTTAGTGCATTCATTTCATTGGTAATAAAACACTGCACCTATAGTCTATACCTATCAATGGTTCGAGTTCACTTTATAAGTATCTTTCCAACTTTGTAACTTTTCAACAAAAAAAAGTTAATATATTAAGTTTATAAAAATATTTAAACATGGGTAAGCATTTATGATTATCGATAAATATACCTATAGTAAATAACATTCCATCTTGACATTTTACATTTTTTTTATTATAACAACAATAGAGCAGTAAATCATTAGTTAAATGGTAGATTAATATTTGCCAGATAATCTTATTTATTATTCAAAAAAATATTATTTTTAATGATACCAAAATGTGTAATAACTCTTAATAGGTTATTGGTAAGTACCTTCCAATCGTTAGAGTCAAAATAAATTTATCAAAAAGTAAATACAAACTCTACGCTAAGTCCAATCGGTCCAAGTACCATATACCACATTGATTGGCCTACCGGGAATCCAATCGGCATCCCGAGGATACTCGAGGTTCACGTAAATACAAATAATTAAATCCGTGTACTTAATATACGTGTGGCGTGTGGGTATACTCATAATAATATATTGTCCATATTTACGTGTTCACGGATGTTGGTATAGGTACGCAATACGTATATATTTCGAATAATGAATATTTTAGTATACAACGATTTTAGTTAATTTATCATTATTATACAGTTAACAAAATAAATTATTTTAGAATATTAAATAAGAGATTTTAGTACACATTCAAATCGGCAGTTATAATAATATCGTATGCATTAATGGTCAGAATTATCGAGATGTGATCAATATTGTAATTATTTCTAATTTTGTGTTATAGCCCAGTCAAATGAGATTTTCAGCTCAGAAAAATTCACACCCAGCTGAATTTTGTCCACGCCTTTATAGTTTATAACATAAGATCGTTATAAACAACGTGTAAAAAGTCGACCTTGAAATCAAGTGTGTGTAAAAAGTTATTCGAAGTCAAAGGTCACAAAATTAACTTTTTTGAATATCTCACTTTTTATTGGTCATACAATAAAAAGTTTTAGAAAAATATTTACGTATAATATTGTGTATATATATATAAGAGGGTGAGCATACTTGTTGGATCACCCTGTATATAACCATCTTGTTGATATGTTTTTCTCTTCTTCAATTTTTGTTCGAAACGCTTTTTATACAACCTGCAGTATAGAGCGAGATATAAATGCAGAAGCTATAATATTTTGTTTTTAGTGAAAAAATCTAATTTTTTTAAGAGTTTATACTTTGTTGAATTTTTGCGTTATTGCCTATTATTCCACCTTATAGCACAAAAAAAAATGTCATAAATCTTATTTACAGATAATTACTTGCTCTATAATTTTTGTCACTTTAGTAACCTTTGACCTCGAATAACCTTTAAAGCGCATATGATTTCGAGGTCGACTTTTTACACGTTGTTTATAACGATGATTTAAAGACGTGTACTAAAATTCATCTAAGTTTTCCGAGCTGGACACTATTTGTCGTATATTTGACTGGACAATTAGCCTCAAACGACACAAAATGTGTATAGTTATAGTTAAAACTTATAAGTTATAACATTAGCCCTATGATTATGGTTAGGAAATAACTCTTATATTATGAACATATGAACATTATGAACTATAACCAATGGCGTACACAATACACATACATATATAATGTGATACTTCATTAATACTTCAGTTTAACATTTTTTCGTTATCGTTTTATTCGTGTGTATACCAACAATTTATTTAAATCTTGACATATTCTAATAGTAAAGAAACAATAATAGACAAACCGTTCACTAAACAATCGATATTCACAAGTTTAGTAAATAGGGAATAGATAAGGAAATTAGTCCATTTAACTTTAAAGAATCCTTCAAAAAATATATGAAATTGTTTTTTAGTTATATGTTAGAACATTATGTATGTACGTGGGAACTATCAAATGAAATCGATCAAAAATACATTTTAATGTTGCAATAATATGTATTATATTTTTAAATTTTATTAGGTATTTCATACATATTTACGTTATTAGGTACTCATTTTTCTTCAATTCTTTTTTTC